TATTTCCTGCTCCGGCACTTCAGCAGAGAATCTTCATTGCCATGGCAGCCAAGACGTTCAAAGTGAAAGAGACCAGAACCGGGTCCGAAATAGGAATGTCGAAGCGCAGTGCCGATTTCACTGTTGGGAGTTAGCAGGTAATTAAATGACAGCACATGCTGGGTGTTATTAAGTACAGAGCCTCTAGCTGATAATGAATAGAGTTTGCAGCTTATACCCGAGCCTCAGTTGTCTACAGATCACACTGGCATCTCGATCAGTCAGGTGGGTGTCACACACTGCTCCCCACCGGCCATTCAGGTACACCTCAAGACGACCACTCTTATTAGATGAACCCCCCACCAACCGCGCCTCACCTGGAGGAGAAGATGCAGAATCAAACATATTCAGGGATTTAGGAATGATAATGTGTATAAAAAAAAAAAATTATAAAAAAAATAACAAATTTATTTGAACTGTTTATTATTTAAATAATGCTTTTAATTATAAAACAATATTTATATTATTTAGATAGAATTTTTTCTTATCCCACGACTCTCTCCATCATTTTTAACATTTAAACATTTTTATATGTTATATTACATTACATTACATTATATTTGGTTGGTTTATTGGCTGATTTATGTTGTTTCTGAAGGTTTATGGATAGTTAAAAAAAAAAAAAATCGAAATAATTTATGGCCATAATTTAATTCTGAAAGGTCAATCTTGCACATATTCTCCAATTATTTAATTGATCTCTTCACATGATACATTGTATGAATACACAACTTTTTATTCTTTGAGAAATCCTATTTTTATAGTCTTACGTTGCGGATGCGGTCTTCTTTCATTTCAGCAAAGAGCAGACATCCTGAAATGAAATTAGGTTTTACCTCCATCTTCTTTCTCCTTGACTAGAGGACAACTTGAGTAAAAGTGGCACATCTTACCCCTGCCTCCCCCATTTACATTTACAGACTCTGTGAATCAGCCCTCTATAATTAGTACAGAACGATTACATTAGAAACACTCTGTCTTGCAAATTATCATCTTGTTGCCCCACGTCATGCTCACACAGACATGAATTTAAATGCACACTCTAATTGTTTGAGTTTGTAACTGTGTTTAATGTTATTACGTAGAAAGGAAAAGGAGGAGAGAGGCAGACAGAGATAATCACAGCTCACAGAGATAAGGCAAACAGATTTCAACACCAGCTCGGTACTGAACCACAGACACAGCCAAGTGATGACAGACCAGCACAAAGAGATCCAGAGACTGAACAAACACTTTCCCAATAAGAGTAACAAATGCACATGAGTGATGTGAGTCTGATTGATTATTAGACAACAAACGCATAGAGAGGGGAAGATGAATAGAGGCCAATAAAAAAAGAAGACAGAGAGAATCCTTGACTGCTGTTAGCTCACTGACAGACACACTGTGGCTGTGTGCTGTGACTGCAGTAATAAACGTCCTACAGCTTCTGTACAACACCTACACTAATATGACAGTTATGACACAAATACTCACCAGGACACGTTCACTTAATAAACACAAACACCACGGTCCAGTAGGAACTTTTTTAGGTCAAATGAGGCTAGACTAGAGCCACATACAACTAAGCCTACAGCCCCAAATGTTTTTTTTTTTTATTCTTTTTTTCCTTGCATTTTTTAATCTTTCTCTTACTTGTGTGTGTGGTTGTGTGTGTGTGTGTACCAGGGTTATTACAGTTTACTATAATAACTTAAACCAAAACAAAACTTTTGTTACTTTAAACATTTTTTTATTGTAATAAAATAAAATACAAAAAAAAAAAAAACGTAAACTTACTTTATTTCAGCTAAAGGCAATATTTCTTGTGTTTATTTAGTTTAACTTGATGTACTAAAATAACTAAATAAAACAACTGATAAAACAGAAAAAAACACACAACAAAATTATTACAACTTTAAAATGGAAACAGAAAATATAAAAATAAAACTATAATATATATAAAACTATACACTCTAAAAAATGCTGGGTTGTTTTAATATCATTGATATACTATTATAGTATTTATTAATGTTTTGAATTAGTTATATATATATATATATGTATAATAAATATATATATAACTAATTCAAAACATTCATAAATACTATAATAGTATCTCAATGATATTAAAACAACACTGGTGTGTACTGCAGCTATTTTAATTGTAATGACAGCTGATTTAATATGGAATTTATGTATTCTAACACCACATTTATATGTAAAGGTCCCTATTGTGTCAGTCCCTATTTAAAGTGTATAATATGTCTAGGAGTTTATAATGTGTAGCATTTAAAGCCTTTCTAGGAAGTTAAGGTACAACTTAGCTTGATCTTCAATCTATGTGTACAATGCATATTTGTATTTTTTCTGCTAAGATTATGTTTCCGTACTGTGCCTATACAAATAAACCAATAAATAAGTAAATAAATAAATACATTTATTTAAGCTTTATTAGCTCCAGAAAGGCACATTTTGGTCATAATGGTGAAAAATTTGCGAATAATAATATTTAAATTATTTAAGAATTAGCCTACACTTTTGTCAAATGTACCAGCCTATAGGTGCATTTAATATTGCTATATTTAGTGCATAATTTAACTAATTATCACTTAGTTGGGTCACAGCATATGTCTGATGTTTACAGGTTAGTCATGCTAGGCTCTCTGTAATCATAACTGCCTTTTTGGGTTTTGTAAATGGCTTTTTTTAGTTTGAACTCACTTCTCCTCAAAACTCAAAGTAATACAAAAACAGCTATTAAAATGAAAATTTAACTTTTATAAAATATCTCTAAATATGAAAAACAAAAAGCCAGTTAGGAGGGCTCACCCTGGTGGCAGTCGCAGTAGGCCCATCCAATGGCTCCTGACTTTTGTCTGAAAAAGCACCAGGGGTTGGATTCACGGTCAGGGTTTCTACAGTGGTTGTGGTCGCCCAGTCCACGGTTGGGGTACTGCAGCATGTAGTCTGGAAAGTCAGTCCATTTTAGACAGGAAGAGCCAGAATCTGTCTGAGACACATATCCATTGTAATAACCCAGCTCAGTGAAGCCCTCAGAGCAGGACAGAGGACCTAAGGGAAACACACACACACACACACACACACACACACACAGACACACAAAGACATAAGTAAAATCCAGCATTTCACTTATAAGAGTATGCCCTTGACGGAGCAAAAAATAACATTTTAATGCAGTGGCAAATAAAGGTCAACTCATTTTAAAATTCTTGGCATGAACAAATGCAAAAGCATGACCTAAAATGACCTTGTGTTAACTCAAAGTGGCAGTGTAAACGGTGTAAACCTAAGGTGGTCTTATTAGCTTTCTTATTTTGTAACTTTTTCTCTATCACTGAAAACCCCTACAGTGCTGCCTCTTGATGCAGAGGGTGAGGACAGCAGTGTGAGACGCTAATGATGGCTTACTGCACTGCTGGAACAGCAAGACCTGCTGACCCACTATGATGAGTCACACATCCAAACGTGTTATACAATGTGTGTGTGTGAATGTTTGCATAATAATACTAAAAAAATAAAATATTATAAATAATATAAAAGAAATAATACAAATAATAATGTAATAATATTTAAAATAATAAAAT